CAATTTCATTTTTCCTCTTGGAAACACTCTAGATTGAAGCTCTTTATGATTCTATTTCACTATAGACTGGCTCTTCCTGGGCTACTACAACATTCTGGCCTTGGGAACTCCCTTAATCATCATCATGGCAATCCACTGTTTTCATTTTGTAGCACCAATTTTTTTTATTCCATATCTACCTCCTTCTTGATTTATTCCTTTGCTTGGTTGTAGCAAATTCTTCAATAGCTTTCCAAAAAGGTTACACAAATGGTAATGTCTGAAAACCTTGTGTGAATATAAACAATTCTATTCTACTCTTACATTAAATATTTCACTGAATAATTCCTCCTTATTATTCTGTATTATTTGTTTATTTTAGAATCAAAGTGTATCAGAGACTTAAAAGAACTGCTTCGGAAACATGCTTTTCAGAATCATTTCCGACGAGAAAGCTCAAGTTTGGTCACACTTTTAAAATTTTTAATTTTTATGGTGTTTCAGTGCAGAAAACCTAAAAGTGCTTTTTTTTTACGTGAAGAAAAATAAACACCAATTAGAAAGGATATATGCACCCCTATGTTCATAGCAGCACAATTGGCCATAACTAAGATTTGGAAACAGCCTAAGTGCCCATCAGTAGATGAGTGGATTAAAAAACTGTGCTACATCCACACAATGGAATACTATGTTGCAGTAAAAAAGAAGGAGCATTATGCTAAGTAAAATAAGCCAGTCAGAGAAGGATAAGTACCACATGATCTCACTCATTTGTGGAATATAATGAACAACATAAACCAATGAACAAGGACAGATCCAGAGATGGAGAGGCATCGATCGGACCATCGGTCCTCGGAGGGAAGGTAGGGGAGGGTGGGGTAAGGGGGAGAAATCAACCAAAGGAATTATATGCAAGCATATAGGCCTAACCAATGGACACGGACAACAGGGGGGTGAGGGCATGAGTGGGGGGGGGGTGAGGGCATGAGTGGGGGGGTAGGGGGTAACGTGGGGATAAGAAGGACACATTAATATCTTAATCAATAAAAAATAAACACAGAGAAATTGAAATAATCACACAAATATCATGCGATATTTAGTTCCTAATTATTTTTTGTAAAAAAGACCATGGAAAAAAAGAGATAATGATTAATTAAAATACAAAAACTTGAATACGGTTTCACAATACTATGTAATAAAATTACAGTGGAATATATGCACAAATAGAATTACATATATATTTTATAGAATGTCTCAAAAATATTTTGAAAATGTAGTATTTTGGTATTACATATCATAATTATGTTTATTATATAATATATAAAATGTATATATTATCCTATCTAATAATAAACAAACATGGTAATTGACCATACATTTGTCAACCTTCCCCTGATGGCCGGGTCACCTCCCACCCCTGAGTCACCTTCCCCTGATGGCCGGGTCACCTCCCACCCCTGAGGGCTCCCAGACTGTGCGAGGGGGGCAGACCCCCCTCCAGCACATGAATTTTCATGCACTGGGCCTCTAGTAATAATTTTAAAAGGGGGACTAGATTTCTGAGACATTTCAGTGACAAAATTCCCATATTTTGCAGAGCCAGTAGATTTATTTAAAAACAATATGAGAACGAATGAGGAAAAGAGGATGATTTGGGCTTGTGTCCTGGGGATGACCAATCAAGTTATAGTTTCTGTTTATATGGTGTATTGCAATTCACAAAACACTTCTATTTATACTGCTTTCCATTGTTTCCACAATCTTGTGATAAATTCATATGCATTCAATAATAAATAGGGTTTATAAAGCAAGCTTTAAAAGGCTCCGACCACTACTGAATCTTTTCTTTGTGAGATGTGATACCAAGTCATCTTTTTTCCTTATGTAGCAGAGATTGACTTATGTTCTCCTCTTCAAAGATACTTGCATACCTGTATTATCTTTGATTCTCCCCATAATATTAGACAAATGGATTTTCACAAAGAGCTTATTTAATGGGCATGTGTGTCATAGGTGACATCTGTGTGTTTCTGAAAAAATTTAGACAGTACTTCTCACACTTTGAGCAGATGGGTCATCTGAGGATTCTGATAAAATGCTAATTCAGACTCAGTGGGTCTTGGATGGGACCTGAAATTCTGCATTTCTAACAAACTCCCCAGGTCCTTGGAACACATTTTGATTAGAAAGGATTTTGACTAAAGCCACACACACACACACACACACACACACACACACACACACATCAAAGTACCTTTGCTTAAGCAGGTGTGCCATTCTGAGACAATTTCAATGTATCTGATTTCAATTTTAAAATCCCAATCACTTTCTCACAGGTTTCAAGGTGGATATTAGTGGCTGCCAATAGTATACATATTTCCTCTGGGTAATATAACTGAATGCATTCCACTTCTGTCTCTGTTGGCAAGCATTTCCTTGAAGGTTTCTAAATATGTCAGTGGTCTTTTCAAGAAGAGATCTCATAAACAACCATCTCATTACTACTTGTTCATTAATAGTTCTTTTACTGACAACTTGGCTGCATACCTCATCATTTTGCAAGTATTTTAAAATTAAAATTACTTTCAAAGCATTTTAAATACTTCTTCTGGCAATAACATTTGCCTGGAAGCAGAATCCTGAACTCTCCTCCCACAGGTCTTTTTAATTTTTTATGATTCCATAGCCTGTGGGTTTACTTAACAGTCCCAAATTCCACAATATAATCCGTGTGTGCTGAAAGATATCTGAAATCATTGACATGCCTGAGGGTCTTAAGATTAAGCAACTATCAGATGTGCCCTTGGGTAACTGGGCATGTTTAGGTTTATCTCAGAAATCCTCTTTCTTTGTCCTCCTCTTTCCTTCCACTCTCTTACAGTAAACCCATTTGTGGCTCAGACAACGTTCTCCAGGAACGCTTTTTTTATTCGCAAGGAAGTCCCTCAAGTCAAACCCCAAGAGAGAGACAATACCTCTTTATGTGCATGACAAAGGTTTGACCTTGAAAGTAACTGGTGATATTTATGAGATTCTAAGCAAGAACTCAGCCACCTTGGAGAAAGAAAGGCTCATGTCCACTGCTTAGGCATTAAAAGTCCTATTGTCCCCTATATGCTGGACTGCTATATGGCATATGTTGGAAAGTATAGGCTAATCAGCGCTGTCACTAATTTCTCAAAATGTCCTGGGACCTTTGAGCTGGACAGCTCATAGAGAGTATGTTGTCTAACCTCCTATTCAATTCAGAGACCTTTAACAACATCCTTGAGATTCATTCAAGGCACCAGGAGTCCTTCCTGAAGGGGTGAGACCCTAGCTGGACAGCTCCAGCTGTTAAACATCTGCAGCTGTGAGCGGTCACGTGCATTTCCTCCAGCTGCTCTGATGTTTCACACTATTCCTATTCACCTCCTGCCCTTACATGGTCTTGCCTTCTCAACACCACAGTGCTGTCTTATTTACAGCTTTCAGTACTGCAATCGGAGCTTTCCTAAAATGACTCCACTTTAGTGAAAAGCTTGATACTCATCAAAATACAGCAGCACCTGAACTTTGACACCTGCCATCAGACATCCCGCATGGCACCTCGTCACTGTACTTTGAACTTCCTTGACACGTCCCGTTTCAAACATTGTTCTGCTCTCCTAGGGAATGTGATGAAGTCAGCCTCCCCATGAGTATGCACCTTGCCCCTCCCACGTTTAGATGCGCTAATAAAGAGTTAAAGAACACGCATCAGGCCACACATATTGCTGGAGATCCAACTGGGAATAGAGCCCAGGAAACTTGGCTCTCAGTCTGGTGTGCTTCTAACCACATGACCATCATTTCTGACGGCTGTGGATTCACGTAGTACTCCTCCTGCAGACACACGCAGGAGACGAGCACCTCAGCCCACTGGACGAGCCAGTGCACTGTTTTCAGTAAACGGAATAATGTGTATTTTCCAGGATTCCTGTTGCCACTCCCTGTGAATGGGCCACATTTTGTTAATGTCACCAGGACACATGGCATCGCTGAGGGAGCTTTCATTACAGATTGTCCTGCTATTCGCGTTCTTGGCTCTTGTCTTGCCCGACATGGATTTTGCTCCAAAGGCATCTTTCTAAGAAGGCACTTCTGACTGCTGGCGGTGGCGGCGGCTGCTGCTGCTAAATTCTTCATGGGCTCTGTGCTGTGCCCTCCAATACGCTTCCTGAGAGGCTGAGCCACTCTCTGCTTAAAATTTCAACTATATGCTCCTAAACCTGAAACAGATGTTATCTTGGCGGCCGTCATTTGCCATGGGCTTGTCTATTTGCATTACATACAAGGCAGGTAATTTGCTGCCTCACTTTGTAGAGAAAGAAAAGGGGGTGGAGGGGATGAAACAAAAGAGGGAATAAATATAGAAACTAGAGGAATAAAGCCACATGGAGACAGAGAACTACCACTTGAGCATCTATTACCCTAATAGCATATGCTATAGCTTGGCTACCACGGACTTGCCTGGCATCTCTCTTGAATCATATTTGTGGCCACCCAGATGAGCTATGGGAGCTGATCTTTTGATTTAATATCAGCTTGCTCTTTTCAGCTCCCATGTCATTTACTATCTTAAAAAATGTACTCCTTGTTACTCAGGCATCTGTGTTTTCAAGAACTCACATTCTTATTTTTTTTTCTTTCTTTCTTTCTTTCTTCTTTTTGTATGGGAACCAGGAACTAGAAACTATTAAATGGGGGAAATTAACCACTCACAGTAAAGGTAGAAGCCCAAAGAAAAAGGGGTTTGTCTTTTATGGTTTGTACTTTGTAAGCTGTGGGTGTGACTCAATTTCCTCACCACCCACATAAAAAAGGTTGCCACCCAATCACTGTTTTTTTTTCTTTCTTTTTCTATCCCAAACCCCTCCCCTTTGATTTTGGCTGGGAGAGACCCTAAGAAAGACTGCCCTTTCTGGACGTTGCCGACTGGGACATATAAAAGCTGTTAGCTGCTCCTGTAGCCAGCAGCATTCAAACCTTGCAGACTTTTACTCTCAGAGTTTGTAGTAAGACACACTCCTCTTACAAGAGTTCATACTACAACTTAGCAAAGACTTTACATTTTTGGAAGAACAAAATATTCATTTTGGCATTGTGCAGAGGTAAGCTATTTAGCTCGACAAGTTTATTTTGCATGCATTGATTTTAAAGTAGCTCACACTTTTTTAATTTTTTTTTTAACTTTTAGAAATGAGTTTGGATGATTATGGCTCGTTTGTATGTTTCTCTCACTTGGTGTCCATATGTGTCTGGGAGACATTATCAGCACATTCTCTGCTGTTACCTGCGATGCATTTTTTTCCCCTCTTCACTCTCCAGATGAATTTTAATTTCTAAAGATTTCCCTCTGAAATACATATGCAGTAATGCATTTTGTGGTTTCAGGAATTTAGGACAAATGGCTCACATGCTCACATGCATTTTAGGGTTAGTAGTCAGACTGTTAATTTTTCTCTAGCTGTAGGAAATTCCTCTTAGGAGTCTGTCTCATTAACACCAAGCAAAATGCAAAGAGACTACTATAGGTTGTCTCCTAGGCTTGAATTCAGCATGTGTTTGGATTTTTTATTTTTTTATTTTTATTTTTTTGGAGAAAACCAAAGCAAGCAATGCTCCCAAATAACAACTTGTACATCCACATTCTCGGGCCCATTTCCCCCCTTTCCTGGACCCTAATTCTACCTTTCTGATTTCAAGCAAAAGGAACTCGGTGCCTCCCTCCAGCCTCAAAATGACAGCAACCTCTGCCGTCAGCGGCGCACTCCTGTTCTCCCTTCTGTGTGAGGCAAGTGCTGTTGTCTTACTCAATTCCACTGACTCATCCTCGCCAACCAATAATTTCACTGATATTGAAGCCGCTCTGAAAGCTCAGCTCGATTCTGCGGACATCCCCAAAGCCAGGCGGAAGCGCTACATTTCGCAAAATGACATGATCGCCATCCTTGACTATCATAACCAGGTCCGGGGCAAAGTGTTCCCACCGGCCGCCAACATGGAATACATGGTAAGAGGAATTTTTCTGTACGTCCTGAGAATGCTTTGTTCCAATCGTACATGAGAGGAACCTAAAGAGTGTCTGCATGAGATGCGGGGCCCTTTTTACCTGCTTACAAGACCAGTTCTGTGTGCCTGGTAAGCTTAGGTGCTGTCCTATTACAGAAGGAAAGGGCGGGGTGGGGGTGTCTCATGAGCTTTTGTGGGTTCCAGAACCATCCATGAATCAGGTCTCATATAAGAAACAAAGGTAAAGAGGGAGGGAGGTGTGTTGACTGGTCACAGTTGGAACGTCCACTTTAAAAAAAAATTCATGGAAAATTTTGGGGGCTTTGTTTAGCTGATAGCCACATGTCCCAGTTAAGACATTTATTGAAAATCTTTTTTTTTCAAATTATAGGTTTCGCGGGCATGATTTATTGTCTGGGTAGGAGTCCGTTCCCTTTCTTGGACAAAGCTCTTTCTGATGCTCATGTACAGTGTGCTCAGGGAACACGCTGCTCTTGCCTCCTGGTGATTTACTGCTCTGCCCCGCAGAGAGCAGGGAGCCAGTGTGCACTGACTTGCGTGCTGTTCCAACTTGCTCTGAACACATTCTTTGCTCTCTCTTAAAATAGGCTCTCTGGGCTGAAATCATTTTACTTAGAACGTTTCAAATTGGGATGGTATTGAAAGGATAGATGTCTTTTTAATGTTTCTTTTTGGTTTTGAATTTCTGCAAGGTTATGGTTTAAATTCCAGTACCTTCTCAGAGCACAGCTTGGAGCCTATTTAAGGCAATGGAGACCACCGATATGGTGTTTCTAAGATGGGTTTGTGTGTGTGTGTGGGGGGGAGATACCACTAACAACTCTTCATAAGTGCTGACCTAAAATTTTGGGATTCCGATCAGATTATAAATTCCATCTATTTTATTCAAGTCTGCTTTTTAAGTTTGACTAATTGCAGCTATGACTGTCAGAGGGAAATCAAAGGCTTGCCAAGCGTAGGAGAGTCATAGTTCATAGGAGTGCAGTTTAGACTCTATAAAAATGCATGTTCCTTGGATTTTTTAAAGAAATAGGAAAAGGAGATGTAATCAGTCCTAGAGCATAAGGGGCAATATAGCCTCATGATTAACACTATGAATTCTGGAATCTAAATGTGTGGGTTTAAACCCCAGACCTGGGATACAAGCTGAGTGAATTCACTACTTCATTCATTTCATCATCTCTAATATGAAGATAAAGGTAGTATCTGCTATACAGGGTTGTTATGAGGAATGTGTAAGTTGAGTGGTGGAGCAATTAGACCAAAGCCTACTGCAAAATAGATGTTCAATAAACATTAACTTTTATGGGTTTCCATGAACTTCTTGTGAAAGGTGCCCAGCGAAAACCCATTCAAGATCTGAAGTAGTAAGAGTTATGCACATTGAAGAGGTGTTTCTAGAAGGTGACATATAGACATAGAGAGAAGAGAAACAAATATGTTTTCAAAATTACCCTCAATTATGGAGTAATATGCATAAGGTTCTATTGAACTCAGAAAGGTGTAATATCCAGATTGTGGGTTTAGGGCTGGGATAACATTGCTAAGCAGTCTGAGACTCAAGGCAACTGAACAGGCTTTGGACATGAGCTCATCTGGGTTGAAATCCTAACTCTGCTGCTTACTTTATTGTCTTGTATATGTTACTTAAACTGCTGAGACTCAATTTTCTTATCTGTAAAATGGGAATGATAATTTACATAAGAACCTGTCAGTACATAAGTGCAATTCACTAATTTTATGATATGGAGGGAAGAGGAACCATCATGAATAAAGGCATAGGTGGGGTACAACACAGTAGAAATAGAATGAAGAAAGCCACATTTTTCTAGTTATATCTTTCCCCACCGATCAAGAATTAATTCATTCCACATGTTATTTATTTAATTGCTTCTATGTGCCAAGGACTTGGTTAATTGTTTCCACAGATGACCTCATTGGATAGCTCACATTTTCCCTGTGAGGTTAAGACTATGGTCTTCCTTTTACCCTTGAAATCACTGAGACCCAGAGAAGTTCATGAATAGGCCAAGGTGGTGTGGGTTGTTATCCATATGGAACCGGATCACTGGGATTAGAATTTAGGTCTGTGTAATTGCAAAGCCCATGCTTGTACTGGGAGCATCTATGTACATGTATTCAGATCTAGCAAGCATTCTACTGGAGGCAACCCCCGGAGATATTGGGATATCTTTGTGTTCTTCTTTACATTGCCAACTGAAATCCTATAGCATTCATATTTTATTTGCCATTCCCCTCTTCTTTTTTTTTCAGATACAGGAGCTATTACATATAATTTACTTTTTAAGAACCAGATTCGGTGCTGGTTAGATGATAGATGCTCTATAAATCCTCCTTAACTCAGGAAAGTTAATGAAAAATAGTATTTAGAACAGTTAAGTCCTATAAAGCAACATATGACTGTCTCAATTATCATGTAAAAACTGCATTTAACTCTAGCCAGTATGGCTCAGTTGGTTGAGTGTCATCCCATACACCAAGAAGTCACTGGTTCAATTCCAGGTCAGAGCACATTCCTGGGTTGCAGGCTTGCTCCCCAGTAGGGAGCATGCAGGAAGAGATCAATGTTCTGAGCTTGCATGCATATTTCTCTCTTCATCTCCCTTTCTCTCTCTCTCTCTCTCTCTCTAAAATAAATAAAAATGTATTAAAAATAAACACTGCATATAGTTCATTTGCATAAGTATTTATTAATTTAATACATAGGCCCTATTCTAAGCATTAGGGAAACATTCATGAATAAAACAGACACTCCTTAGCCATCTGGGGTGGGGAATAAGACAATAAACAAGATAAATATATAAAGTTTCTCTCTCTCTCTCTCTCTCTAAAATAAATAAAAATGTATTAAAAATAAACACTGCATATAGTTCATTTGCATAAGTATTTATTAATTTAATACATAGGCCCTATTCTAAGCATTAGGGAAACATTCATGAATAAAACAGACACTCCTTAGCCATCTGGGGTGGGGAATAAGACAATAAACAAGATAAATATATAAAGTTCACAGTACATCAGAAGATAATAAGATTATGAAGAAACAGAAAGCTGATTGTGGTGAGGTTGTGAAATTTCATAAGGTGGTCAGAGAAGAGCTCAGTGAGAGTATCCTGGAGAGAGAGGAGGGAGGGAGCCACACTGATAGGTGAGAGGAGATCATTCCCAGCCGAGGGAAGAGTAAGGAAGGACAAAGGCCCTGAGTAAACTGACCCATGGAAATAATTCAATGGACCCCTCAAGAAGACTCAGAGAAACTATTGAGGGAGGTACAATATAATAGGTAGCTTGTAGGTCAGGATGTAGTTGACTTTAATCTCTAAGCTCAGGTAAAAAATGAAGATCTCAATTGAACAGTTATCTTTGTTTTAACTTGTTCAACATTGATTTGGATTGTGAGCAATTTGAAAATGAGTTCAGTTCCCAGCTCTACTCTGTATCTCAATAACTTGGGACACTTAGCTCACTATGGCCACCAGCCATGTGTACAAATTGTCCCCATCAGTGAGTTATATCACCATGGGAGCCTCATAGAAGGCAGTCTTCAGCTCAGGGCTTTTCCTAATGGCACCAGATTGATTGGTAATCTCTCTCATCCCAACTTCTCTCTCAGAACCTTTTCCTATGCCATTTCTTCTCCTTCTAATGTTTCCTAATTAATGTCTGCCATTATCTATAATCCTACCCTTCAAGTTATAATCAGAATGTGTGTCCTTTGTTGATATTATGATCACAACCTCATTTGATTTCTCCTTTGAAGCACCATAACCTATATGTCTATTACACTGCTCTCATCAAAATGGAACTGGATTTACAGTTATTTGTATATTTCTGCAAACTTATTCATTTTAAGCTTTCAGGGTGCTAAGTCTATGTTTAGTCATCTTTTTATCTCTATTTTTAAGTAGCTTTAATTTTGATATGACAGTCAGCACTCCTATCTATGGGTTCTCCAACTATGGATTCAACCAACAGCAAATCAAATATATTTGAAATAGCCTATTACATAGTTGCTGACATATACTATATAGTCAGACCTATAATATGTAGACTTTTTTCTTGTAATTATCCCTTAAATATTATAGTAAAACAAGTATTAGCTTTGTGTTAGGCATAATAAGCAATCTTGAAATGATTTAAAATATCTGGAGGATGTGCATATCTTATCTGCAAAGACTAGACCATCCTATGTAATAAAAGGCTAATATGCAAATCGAGCAAACTGCAGAACTACCGGTCGCTATATACACACTGACCACCAGGCAGCAGACGCTCAACACAGGAGCTGCCCCCTGGTGGTCAGTGGGCTCCCACAGGGGGCGTGCCGCTCAGCCAGAAGCTGGGCTCACAGCTGGAAGTGCAGCAGTGGTGGCAGCGCTAAGGATGTCCGACTGACAGTTAGGACACTCCCCTCCCCAAGTGCACAAATTTTGTGCACCAGGCCTCTAGTTTAATATAAAGAGCATTCACGGATTTTGGTATCTGTAGGAGCCTTAGAACCAATCTCACACAGATACCAAGGGGCAACTGTAAAATTTATATTTTTACAGAAATTTTATCATCATCTATAATAATACTTTATCACATGCACCCAAAATAAGTTTTGCATAATTTCAAAAAAGTCATTATATAGATAGAGCTTAAGATATGCAAGTCAAACTTCTCTCCTCTTGGCTTCTGTTCTCCAATTAGTTTATTGACATATTTCCAGAGCTCCTTGGACACCAGCTGCTTTTCATTCTTTCTAAGGGCAGCTTAAACCATGACTCTAAACCACAAACCACACTAGTTTCTTAGAATAAGAATTATCCCCAAAAGAATGAAATTGCAAGACTCACACATGGAGTAAAATTTGTAGGATCTTCTTTGAATCCAAGTCAATTGAGTAAATTAACTTTAGAAAATTTGAAGTCCCTCCCTGAGAATATGAGATCCAAAGATAACATGAATCTCTGTCTT